TGGAATCATTTTTTGACATCTCAGAGCATAAAGAGGACACTGAATAAATCTCTGAATTTATGGGGATTGCACATTACTGTATTACAATTGGACATTTATGTTTTAAAATTTATGGTAAAGTTAATTTTGCATGGCACGGAAGCTATGAGTGTGAAAGTTGAGTTCTGTTTTGCCACCTGAGTCATTCAAATTGCAAAGACATTTCTATCACATTTCTCAGACTCCAAAATATAGAACTGTGAGGCCAGTATTTTCTCTAGAATTATCTATAAATCTGCAGAAGTTCTGTTCCTTTGGTCAGTCCTCTGTTATCATTGATAACTGAACCGTACTTAGACTCACTCCGCAAGACGCAAGTAGTCTTGTGAATCACCATGTTTCTTGAGCTCAAGAAACCTTGACAGAATGGCCATTCTGATCAGCAACGACATAGTTAGAAACAAGCAGATCCTTTTAATTACTGCATCATTGATACTTGATTCTACTTATCAATTCCTCTTTAAAAAGGATAATTGAATCTTAATGGATTAGGAACAGCAGATTGATGTGAACGGGTGTAATGAGGAGAATTTCCATATGCACTTGTCCCACTTATTCTTTAGTTGAATATTTAAAACTTATCCTTGTATTATGTGTCAAACTTTTCCTAATTCAAGTTCCTTGCCTTATTTTAATTGTCATCTTTGTCTTTTTTTGCAGGAGTGCTTTGATCCTATTGTTGCCAAATCTGGACGAGATCTTATACCTGTTATGGTTTATGGGTGAGCATTCCTTCGCTTGCAATCCTAGTGTTACACACAAGTTACTTTATCAAAAGTATAACACACAGGTTATTCTTAGAGACTCGATGTTTTTGTTTTCTTGTCTTTGAACTGTATTGAAGGAGAGCCTTGGAGCAACAATAGAGTTGTCTTCATGTGACCTATAGGTCACGGGTTCGATCTGTGGAAGCAACCACTAATCCTTAGGGTGCGGCCCTTCCCCCAACCCTGCGCGAATGCGGGATGCTTTGTGCACCGTGCTATCCTTCTAGGAACTGTATTTGAAAATTTGAGAGACAGTCCTTCTCGTGTTTGATCTTTCAGTAGCCTCCTTTAGGATAACACTCTTGAACTTTTCTTTAGTCACTGGGTATTTGGTTTAAGTATTCTCATTTGCATCCTAGATTCTTTGGTTCTGTATAATCATCTTGTCTTAGGCATTTATCATTATAGTATAGATGCTTTACCGTAAGAAGAGCTTACTGCATAAAGACATAATATTTTGCAGTATTTGCATGTGATTAAGTTTAAAGTATTCTAGACTTTCCAAGATTGGTTTCTACTGTCTATAACCCCCCCCCCCCCCCCCCCCAAAGGAGTTGAAATGACTAATTGGTTCTAGTATAATAGATATTTGTACCTGAAGTATGTGGGCAAAGTTCCTAAGTAGATCGCTATTTCAGTGTATTAGCAACTTAAATGTACAATTCTTTTGGCAGAATAATTTGTCGTTCATGAATAATGAAGATAGTTAAGTTCCAACTTAGTTTAATCCAGTAGTCTGAAACTTACGTCAAAGAAGTTGCAATCAGTATTCGTCAAATTATTTCCTTGGATCTTTTGTGCTTTTACCTTTTGCTGTTAGAACTCGAGAGCTTGCTGTATTTTGAATTGCAGACATTTTGGCTTTTCTAATTTCTATATTTCTGCTCATGTAGGCGAAACATCTCGGGTCAGGAATTTGGGGGAATGTATTGCATCGTTTTGACTGTAAAGTAAGTAACTGATTTTCAAGTTATTTTTCTGGTTTCATGATAAAACTAATACATGCCTGCTCAAGTGCATTTATAGTTGGTTCGGGAGTTCTATACATACACACAGAGTATTCTGCTTTGCTGAGTTACTAATCACGTGTCTAAATGGCCACAGGTCTGTAGTTGTATCAGCTGGTCTTCTCAGGATTTTCGGGCAAGAGGTTGCTGAACTACCTTTGGTGGCTACAAGTAGAGAAAACCAAGGGAAAGTAAGCTTTGTTTGACTTTACTCCTTTGCTATGCTCAATTTGTGGTTTCACGCTTATTGATTCTGAAATTCTTGTGAAACTCAAGCTGATGATTCTCGTTTTTCTTCTTTTGTAGGGTTATTTCCAGGCGTTATTTGCATGTATTGAGATGCTATTATCTTCCATGCATGTTAAAAACCTGGTTCTGCCTGCTGCTGAGGAGGCGGAATCCATCTGGACAAATAAACTGGGGTTCAAAAAGATGACTGATGAACGAGTGAGTGGATCTTAACATTCTTATTGAAATCATTTGTTTTTACTTTGTTTATCTGATACGTCCTTTGTGTAATGGGATGATAGCAATTAATAGCTAGAGGAATGGAGTCGATACTGGAAAAAGAGAGAGAATAGATTCAAGCTGTAAAATGTTCAAGGCCACTGGAAACTAGTGAATATTTAAAGTCAGGTTATACACTCATGCCAATATCTCATCAGCAATTTAAGAACAAGAGCAATTGGAAGCTGTTGAATGTTTGTAATTGCAAGCTGTTGAATGTTTTATAGTTAGGATGTTTAGGCTGCGTTAAAGTAAAAATGTAGAAATATTTGGTGTGGGAATAGAGTATTGGTGGGAATACTAGCACGCATAGCTTTAAAAGTCTTGCCTTCCATCTTTCTTCCTGTTGACCCCTCTTCGTGAGTTGAATTTTCTTTTCAATAGAATCGTAAACCTTACTGATCAAACCATGGTCAGGACTCAGATTGGGTAGTGGAAGGCATTAGTTAGAGTAATTTCAACTCCTATATTTTGTTGCTTCCTTTGCCTGTCATGGACAGGGGACGAATTTTGAGTTTGGTTACTTTCTGTTACTATTTATCAAGAACGTTCTTGTGTCTATCGAAATAATGTCTGATGTACTCCCTAGCTCTACTACCCTTCCTATTTTTCCCATTTAGTTAAAAACAAATACTGAGTCCTTTTAAACTGTTTTAACAGTATCTGAAGTATTCAAGGGACTTCCAGTTGACGGTATTCAAGGGGACATCAATGTTGGAGAAGGAGGTGCAGCAGACAGCTTATGAATTGTAATTCATCTTTGTGGAGAATGTGCAACAAGGAGCTAGAATTGCTACATATCTTGCACGCACTCTCATTCAGGAGGGAGACCTCTGTTCTACTCAATGATCTGAAATGGAAGTGAAAATAGAGAAAGAGGTGCTTCTCATTGCAGATCGATCTTTTCTTTAATATCTAGAACATGCAAAATGCACCTATGCTGATGAGTTTTGAGTTTCAAGGCGATTAAATAGTAGACAATGCAAGGTGTTTGGAGGCACATCAAGTTGCTGGCGGACCTTGTAGCGATCATTCTTAGATGCAAGGACAAGTGCATTTCGTATTCGTTATTTACCACTATGTTTTCATAAGGTAGTCATTGCTTTTATAGATTAGTTTTCAGCTGATGTATAAAGAGCAGCTGAGGAACTGCTCGTCGAAAGTCCTCGAGGCATGCTGACCTTTTATCATGCGTGCGTGGGGCAAACGTTGTTTTTACCCCTTTCTTTTTGCAGTGGTAGTTTTCTTTTGTACATTTCCAGTGCATACAGAGAAATTTTGCTAGAAAGTGGCCAACTCAAATGTAGGATATATCTTATACGGGACCCTATGTTTTTCCTTGATGTGATGCAATGTTTGAATATATGTAATGATTGGGTTACGAAATTATCTGCTCTCTCCACCTCCCTACAACGCAGAAAAAAGAGGAAGTCGACGTCACTTTTAGCGTTTTGCTGGTTAGTGGAGCCATGAAACTATTTTCTCATCTTTGGTGAGTTTTGTTACTCTGTTATTTTGTATTTTAGAACTGACAATTGGTAAGTTATTTAAAAAAAAATATATATATTAATAATAATATTATCAAATTAGAATTCTTTTATGAAATTTTTGCATACTAGATATTAATAATAATTTATAAGTTTCATTAGAGCAACTTATAAGAAATAAAAATTTAAAATAGTCCTTAGGACAATATTTTTTGTTAATTAAATATTAGAAAATATTTGTTTAATTATTCTTTGACTAAAATTGTTGTAGTCAGAGGATTCGGTTGAGATGGGTTGCATCAGGGATCAACAATCAGCCCGTTTTTGTTTTCCCCGGCGATGGATTCTTTGACGCACCACATCAAAGAGGAGATGTCTTGATGCTTGTTATTTGCGGATGACATAGTCCTGATTGATGAGACGCAAGGTGGCGTTAACGAAAGGCTGGAGGTCTGGAGACATACTTTAGAGTTTAAGGGTTTCAAGTTGAGTAAGACCAAGACAGAATACTTGGAGTGCAAGTTCAGTGGTGTTACCCAGGAGGCGGACGGGGATGTGAGACTCGATACGCAAGTCATTCCCAAGAGAGAGAGAGAGTTTCAAATATCTGGGATCTATAATTCAGATGAATGGGGAGATAGATGAGGATGTTACCCATTGTATCGGAGCAGGATGGATGAAGTGGAGGCTCGCTTTCGATGTCTTGTGTGATAAGAATGTGTCGTTGAAACTTAAGGGTAAGTTCAAAAATTATTGTAGTCAGAGGATTCAGTTGAGATGAGGTTGCATCAGGGATCAACAATCAGCCCGTTTTTGTTTTCCCCGGCGATGGATTCTTTGACGCACCACATCAAAGAGGAGGTGTCTTGATGCTTGTTATTTGCGGATGACATAGTCCTGATTGATAAGACGCAAGGTGGCGTTAACGAAAGGCTGGAGGTCTGGAGACATACTTTAGAGTCTAAGGGTTTCAAGTTGAGTAGGACCAAGACAGAATACTTGGAGTGCAAGTTCAGTGGTGTTACCCAGGAGGCGGACGAGGATGTGAGACTCGATACGCAAGTCATTCCCAAGAGAGAGAGAGAGTTTCAAATATCTGGGATCTATAATTCAGATGAATGGGGAGATAGATGAGGATGTTACCCACCGTATCGGAGCAGGATGGATGAAGTGGAGGCTCGCTTTCGATGTCTTGTGTGATAAGAATGTGCCGTTGAAACTTAAGGGTAAGTTCTACAAGGTAGTGGTCAGACTTATGTTGTATGGGGCAGAGTGTTGGCAGTCAAAAAGTCTCATGTCCAGCATATGAAAGTAGCGGAAAGGAGGATGTTGAGATGGATGTGTGGGCATACTAGATTGGATAGAATTAAGGATGAAGTTATTCGGGATAAGGTGGGAGTGGCCCCTGTGGAGTCAAAGATGCGTGAGGCAATGTTGAGATGGTTTGGGCATGTTAAGAGGAGAAACACAGATGCCCCAGTCAGGATATCTGAGAGGTTGGCCTTGGGAGGTGAGAGGAGGGGTAGAGGTAGACCTAAGAAGTCTTGGGGTGAAGTGACCAGGCAGGACATGGCGCAGCTTGAGCTGAACGAGGACATGACCTTAGATAGAAGAGTGTGGAGGTGGAAGATTAGGGTGGAAGGTTAGTAGGTAGTCGAGTGTTTCCCTTTGTCTTCCCTAGTTCGATAGTATTAATGCTAGTATAGTACCCGTTTTTCCTTAGTTTGCTATAGCCGCGTGCCTTGTTCTATTACTACTTACCTTCGGTAATTCCGTAGTTTGCTAGCATGATTTCGTCATATTCTCGTGTGCTGCCTTGGACTTATTTGTCTAAATATACTATCTTGATATTACTTGTTATCAGTACTATTTTGCTATTCTTTGTTGTTATTTCCGATTTAGTTTTCTAACTGTTTGTCTTGCTATCACTTGCTATCAGGGATTCATTCACCTTCTTTAGCCGAGGGTCATTCGAAAACAGTCTCCCTCCCTCCCCTTTTAGGGTAGGAGTAAGACTGCGTATATCCTACCTTTCCCAGACCTCACTTGGTGGGATTATACTGGGTAGTTGTTGTTATTGATGTTAGGAGCTGCTATCTTCGCTGACACATATAGTTTCAGTTATTTTTAATGCTGTAATACTTCTTGTTGTTAATAAAATTTCTTTATTTATCTGAAAAAGGCTCCTCCTATATAACCCAGCCACGAAGAACAATTCCAAGAGAAAATATTTTTAGGTCGAAATAATTTGTGAAATACTAGAGAGGAAAAAATAAAAAATAAAAAATGGAGGGAGAGAGAGACGGTTCGCGAACCTTCGACCTAAAGTTATTTATTTTTCATGAAGGCCCTCTGCTTTGTCAAAATATCTATTTGAACCCCTATGGTTTTACAAATCACCATCATTTCTAACCTTATAATAAAACCCTAAACCCCGAACTTGGTCTGAACAAAATATCCTTCAAACAAAATGGCATTTCTTCGTCGCATTTTCAATGGTTCATCATCAACTATTCTTCAATCACAATTTTCTTCAATCCGCTTGAATTCAACGCTCACAAGTCCTAAGCTATTTGTCAGTGGTATGTGTATTATTTTTTTGTTCTGATTGTGATGTATATTCATGGCTAGAAATTTTGGTATTGAAGAGATTTACTACGATGTTTAATGTGATTTTTAGTTTTTCTTTTTTAGTTTTTTTTTTGTTAATTTTCATTGGTTTCATGACAGTACTATTTTTGTGCTTATTGGGTTAATGTGTTCTCATGATAGTTATTGAATGTGATATTAATTATTTCTGTAATTTGCACTTTACAATCTTTAAAAGTTAAAACCTTTAAGTTCATATGAAGAATATAAGGAAATAAAGGTTGAGGTTTTTGGTTGTTTACCTTGAGCTAATTCTGATATATGTAATACGCACTTCTTTTGGTGTCTGCTATTATGGATAGCATTTTCAGTATTATTCGTTCCTTCCTCCTATCAAAGTTGGATGTGTTAAAGTTTTGATGATTACTAATTTCTAGTTAGGTTGAAGGTATTAGCTCATTACTATTAAGTTACCTCTTGCTCTATATCACAATTTTTTTGTAAAAATAAATTAGTACCAAAGAAATGTGAGCGTTACTGTGTTAAAACAAAAAATCAAAAAACGGTTAGAAGAATAAAGAAATGTATAAAATAGTAAAGAAACAGAAATATTCTGAGTCCACAATTTTCTTGTGCGTCCTTAAGGAATTTTAACCCCCTCACACGTTGCCAAGATAATGGATTAAATCCTCCCAGGATAAAACCTTCCTACAACAGTGGCAATACAAACTGCGGGATACCAACGAACTCAAAGAACGGAGCAAAATCACACTTACGAATTTGAGAGAGAGAGACTGCAAATTAGGATGCAGTATATTCAGAAAGAAAGAAGTTCTAGAGTGTTTTTTCGTGTCTTGAAGATGCAGCCTTGCCTCAGAATTTATAGGCAAATATCAGAAGAGGTGTCTGGAAAGGTGCCTTTTCAGAAAATACGTGGCTTGCCGCGGTTCTACCGCGATCGCGGC